TTTCATAGGAGTGTGACTGATTTGGAGTTACATTGTGTTGTTTAAGTGTTCCCTTTATTTTTTTGAGCAGTGTAGTTAAACTAGTAACGGCACTACTTGTAGCGACGCTACTGCCCAACACTGGAGTTATGGTCACGCTTGGCAAGTTTAAAGTGGTGGTATTATGCTTTTTGGCTTTTTCCCTCTCCTTTATGAGTTAGGCATCTTTTTTTGTGCATGTAACAGGTTTGCAAAGTGAAAAGGCTTGAAGTCCAGCCCATAGGGAGTTCCCATCTCCCACAGAAAGCTCTGCTCTGAACTGCTTGAAAACTGCTCGTTTGTAGTCCAGCCCTTCACTTCCTTTACTTGTGACATCACAGTGAAAACGCGTCATAAAGCTTGCCAAGCGGCTAGTGGGGTCAGGCACACCCTCAAACAAAGCTAGTCTGAGCAGAGGCCCTTTGGCTCGACTCGCCTGTTTGGTTTTCCATAATAAGAAATGTTGTACCTGTACCTCCAGGTACTTGTTTTCGTATCACCTCACCTCTGTGGAGGTTCCAAGCCAGCTGAGGGATACTAAAATGTAACGTGAAAACACGACAGACTGCTGATTGGTCAGAGAGAATCACTATTCACTGCATCATCATTGCGTGCGCCAGACAGAGGCCAGCCACAGAAAGTTTTATATTTTACACATTTCGTATGTAATTTCATCACTAAATCCACTTCTGAGAAGTTTTGAGGTGAGAAATCAGCTGTGTAGATTTCGGACAGTTTTACGAGAAGTGATGGCGGAACAAAAATGTGCTTGAATATTTTCGGAGTTGAGGAGCTCCGCAAGTGGCTGCGGAGGATGCCTGTGCCAACCCGCGGGAGGAGCTTGTGAGGCCGGCCAGCTGCCCGCTCACAGAGCCCCCTGCTCCCGCCGTCACACAGACCGCTGCAGCAACAACAGCAGAGGAAAACACAACTGGAAGGTTTTCATACCGCTTATCTGTCTTTACATTCTGAGTAATGTTGAAACGTTTTAACTTAAAAAAGAGAAAGATGTGTGGATCGCTGGTGTGTGTGTCGCATTGAACATTACGTCATGGCAGTTGTGTGTGGCGTCGCTATGATGACAAGCTATGTACTATCTCTGGGTACTACCTGCAATGGAAAACAGAGCAGGGCCGAGGAGAGTCGAGTCTATCGATTTGCACTATGGTAGCATTTTTCAGCAAGGCAGCATAGATCGTCAGAACACCAGCAACAGTTCAACATTTAGTCCTAAAAGACGATGCAACTCCGACTCTGTTTGGGCCTGGAAATTCACAATCACAACCTGTAAGTATGCTTTATTGGTTGTGAATTATATTTAAAATAAACATGGCAATGTGACTTCACAGACTGTTCAAGTGCGGAGTTGTTGTAAAAGTTGGCTAACACAGCAAAGTTATAGCTAAAATGCTAATGTTACACCTGATGTGAAAGCTACTGAGCAAACGTTCAAATTGTTTAGCCAATTTTTGATTTTTGTAGTGGTTTATGGTAAGATGCGGAACAATGATGTTGTGTGGTTGTGGACTTGAGTAACTTATACCATCTGCTAGGTTACGGTCACAGTCTGAAGCGGCTTTGATTTGGATCACACGCCCCTCTCTGCTTCTGATTGGCTAGTAGTCCTTACCTGGGAACGTTTTTCGTCAAATTAGTAGGCTAAATGGATACCTAATTTTATAAATATTAGTAATTGCCATTTGCTTTTTTAACCCATAGGCACGCAGCTTTGAAGATTTACTTCCTGCTTCGTAATACCTCTGTTTCAGGTACATCAGCTTTTTTTTATATCTCCTGCGATAGGATGTCATTTATCTCTGTTTTAACCCTTTTGATTTCTTGGTTTAATTTCTCAGCCACTTTATGTATGTGTTGTTTTTCTAGTTTCTTAAGCTCTGATTCTAGATTTTTAAGTCTATCCTGTTTTTGCCTTTTCAAATACGCTGATTTAGCTATTAGTTTCCCTCTAATTACCACTTTACACACATCCCACAGCACTGATGAGACACCAATGTCTGAATTTCTTTAATATATTCCTCCCTCATTTGTCCTTTTAGAACATTTATGTTTAGCCTCCACAGTGTTGCTTTTGTTTCTCTTGACATAGCCAAAGTCATATATACTGGACTATGGTCTGATAGGTCTCTTATTCCAATTTCACATTTTTCAATCCTGTAACTGTATTTCTTATACATAACTCTGCCAATAGCCCTCTGAACTTTTTGCTAATTGTGGACTTCTGTATCCCACTAGCCGAACAGTCGAGTTGTGGGTTTAGTCAGAGATTTAGGTGTACTCCCCAAATCAGAATGCCTTCCCCCTCTGATATCATCAAGTCAAACATTTGCCTGTAAAATATCCAGTCTGACCCTGGGATTGCATATACATTTAGAATAGTGACTAATTCTCCCCTCTAACCTCCCCTTAATTAATATTTACCTTCCCTGTTTATCTTATGTTTCCAAAAGTTTTTCAAAAATAATTTTCCCTGACATTGCAATGGCCACTCCTCTCCTATTACCTGTTCTATTAGATGAAGAAAATACTTGATTAAATCCATTTCTTTTAAGCTTTTTATGCTCCCTCTCTGACAGGTGGGTCTCCTGCAGCAGAGCTACCCCCACCCCTTCTTTCTTTATTTTACCTAGTATCTTGGACCTTTTAATTGGGTTGAGTATCCCATTCACATTATATGATTCTATCTTTAATAATTTTTTCTGGGTTGTCATATTCACTGATCTTCCTCCTCCTACCTCCTACCTCCACCTCCTACCCCTTAGGCTCCAAAATTGGCAAACTGCCCTAAACATTAAAGATCCAAACACAAAACCAATCACTGATGAACTAGTGATTAACCAGAAAACTTCCTTGCGTGGGGTCTTCGTTTTAACCCTAGCTGCGTCCTGAGGACAAGTCCGCTCTGAGGGATATGCCCTTCCTCCTAGGGGAAGTGGGCATTCCAAGTACACAGAAGCTGTTCAATGCCTGTCCTTAAATCCAAGTCCATTTTTTTGCCCGGCTGGCCTACCAACTTAGGTCCTTGATCTTCTCTGGTCCACTCTCCGTAGGTTTCACCACTGTCACCTGTAGCCCTCTCCTGCCATGTCCTTGGTTGCCTCTTCAGCCGTATTGTACACGGAGATTTCTCCCTTGTAGAACACCCGTAATTTTGCCAGGAATGGTGTTTGGAAGCGTATTTTCTTCTCCCTCAAAACTTTCTTTGCCGCCGTATACTCCTTACGCTTTCTCAATATCTCCGGAGCGTAGTCATGATCCAAAAATCTCTTCTTCCCCTCGTGCACAAAGCCTCTTATCTGCCATGCTATCTTTATTATCTCTTCTTTGTTTCTGAAACTCATGAATCTTAACACAATGGTGGGGAATCCGGAAGGGGGCGTGATACTAGCACCCGGTGGGCTCTCTGGATCTGGAGGTGACGTGATGGAGTTTACTACAGCTCAGGAGATCATCAATAAATCATCAATCATCGAGCGTTGTCTTCCGCTCCCTCCTTCACCACATGAATCCTGATGTTTTCTCTCCTAGAGCGTCCGTCCTGATCCACCAGTCTGTTTTCAAACCGTTTCTCTCAGCATTATCGCTCCTGTTATTTGCCACTCTGATGTCTTCCTCAATTTCGTTTAGAATATCTGAGTTTCGCGCCGAAAATCTTACAGTTCATGAAGTACCGTCTCCGGGCTTGCCATGCTTTGAGTGACCAAATCTGTTAGCTCTGATGCTAACGTATCTTAATCATCGCTTCCACTGGCGCTTCCACTCGGGTTTTTGAGACTTTCTTCCTAATTTTTCTCTCGGCATAGTCATCACTATTTCTAATTTGTATTTAACCTGTATGCCAGTTGCCTATTAACAAGTGAATAGGAGCTCACTTTTATGCTGCTGCCATAATGGAGGCGCACTGGAAGTCCCGGTTTAATACATTTCCATGTAAAAACATTTTATGGTTCCACCTTCACAAATCTGTAGATTTGCTGCTTTATCTTTTCATTATTTTGATTATTAATTTTGAGCTTTGTACTGTTGGTTAGGCAAAGCAAACATTGTGAAGGTGTCACTTTGGGCTCTTGATAATTGTGACGGCATATGGAGACGATATATGGTGAAAATAATCAGCAGATTAATCCATAATGAAAATAATCATTACTTGCACTCTGATACAAAATAGTCAAAAATGAGCTCCCCCCCAAATCCTGCTTTTACATTATTGCATGAGTAATAATAATAATCTAATAGTCTAAATAGTAACAGTCACAGGACATTTTTCTTTAAACTTTTCTGATTATACTTACATACTTTTACTTTTGTAACATTTTCAATGACTTTAACTTGTAGCAAAGTTTTTTACAGTGTGGTATTAGTACTTTTACTTAAGTAATGGATCTGAATAATTCATTCACTCCATCACTGATATTTCCGTCAACTAATCCCATGAAAAGACCAAAACCAACAATGCATCAGTCCATCTCTCAATGCTTTCCGACGTCCCTACTCTGTCTTTGGCTCTTGACCCCAAGCCTAATTGGTTCCTTAAAAAGACGTAACCAAACAAGGCAGAGTAAGAGCTGGCTTAATGCCTCCCCAGTGTGTTGTGTAGTCCACAAAGTGTCAACATATTGATCATTACATTGTGAAGGTTTTTCTTTGTTGGCTGAAGCTTCCAATTAGAGAATATTTCCCTGGCATTTTCAGACAACTGATGGCTGAACAGCTTTAATGAAGTGTTAAAGCCAACTACTGCATGCTCACAGTGAAAAGAAAAACAGGAGAACGGAAATGTCTTAACTAGAGCCTCACCCTTATCACTCTGCACAAACACAAACACAAGGTGAGCACAGCAAGAACTTAATTGGACAAAAAACCTTTCTTGTTTTTTATGTGTGTGTGTGTGTGTGTGTGTGTGTGTGTGTGTGTGTGTGTGTGTGTGTGTGTGTGTGTGTGTGTGCGTGCGCGCACGTACTCACCTCTCTCCACTGTTTGGTTTCAACACCTTGCGTATAGAGCACGCACACTGTGAAAAGGTGCAGGATAGGGACAGAGAGAGGTGAAATATTGTGAAAGGATGGGGAAATGAGAGGCACAAAGAGGGAAAAGGAGAGAGACAATCAGAGAAATGCAGGCGGATTCCAAATGGGAAATCAATGTGAGGGTTTTAGCTCCAGTACAGTGAACAAACAGCCATGGCACTCTGAGCAAAACAAAGATTTCCCAAACCACAGGGCAACATATCAACAAAGACATCGACCAGAAGAGAAGGAGACCAAGACAAAAAGAAAATGGAGCAGGACTCAAACAAAAAAAAAATTGAATTCCTGCACGGGGATTATGGAAGATTACAGACATACATTCAGTCGCTACAGCATACTCACATGGATCTGACTTGGAGAATGTGTCTTTATCCAGCAGATTTCTAGAAAATAAGAAGAGAGAAAAAAAAACATTTTTTACCTCTTGTTCATGCTGACATGAGATTTTTTACCACCACACTTAGCATCAAAGGCACACAAAAGCTTGCAAAGAGCTGCACAGTAGTAGGTGGCAATGTAACTTTAGGTTAAAGAGGAAGAAAAACGATGGCCCTCTGCATTAATTTTAATTAATTTAATTAAATTCAATTAATAGTGGCTCCTGTTCTCCTCAGCTTCTGATCATTTGCTCAAGTTACGAGTAGCCTTTTTGAGTGATTCCAAAACAAGGTACTAAAATACTTTCACACTACTAGTAAGTCTATGGTTATCCAAGGAAGGGTATAATCAACGGCAACTGGAAGATACCTGAAGATGTATCTTCCACCAGTCCAGTTGCCCTTGATCTTAACCTTCCTTGAATTTCACACCAGTGACCTCTAATTTAGCAGTCCTCCACACCCGCACACAAGTGTTTTCAGTCATTCTGACCTTGCGGAGGTGGAAGATGGGTGGAGCTATGATATACAACAAGTCCTTCAAATTAAAAGACTAATTATATCGTTTGTCCATGTGTCTCTGCAACGACACATTCGATGCATTGTCTGATCTCACGCCCGTTTCGACAGGACAACATGTGGCAATGCTGTGGTTAAGGTTTGGTTAGGTTTAGGCACATAAACGACTTGACTTGGACTGAGGAAATAATCGTCATAAGGTGTCATTTGTCCCGCCCTAGCAGCTAACAGGCGAGTCAGAGAGATGTCAGTCAAGCACAGTCTGAACATGCCCACACAGTCCTGAGTAGGGATGCAACAATTACAGATTTTGTTGGTACAATTATTGTCAGAGAAATAATCACTGTTTCACAATTATTATGCATTAATTAATTTCACAACACTAGTAATGACTTAAGTTGATTTTTAACATTTAATTACATGTTGCTTGACGCAGCAACAAACCAAGCCATTGAAAATAACGGGCCTCATAGCGCAGCGGGGCTGACGTTGCGGTGGGTCTGAAAGGTTACACCTGCTTTGTTTGTTTACGTTGCACTGAAAGCTCGACTCTCACCGCTACGGCATCGATTGTAAGTGACAAGTTTATATTTAATTCCCTACCACCTTGCTACATTATTTAATATAATGTATTAGGCCTACCTTTACTCAGGCGTGCAAAGCTAGGTGGTGGTACTGCAGGTGCTGCATCAAGTTAAATGTAATTATTCTCTCCTTTAGCAGGAACCTTTTAATGGTAAGTTTTTGAACAGGTGATCCGTCATCTTCAGTAATGCCCTGGTCAGACTTGGTGTACCCGAAGTGCTACCACACTGCCGACTTCAGCCGTTTCTTTGGTGGAAATAAAGCTTCAAACTTTGGTCTCTCTGCCATAGTTTAGCCAGTGTGCGGTAGCCTCTAAGCACAATACTTAAGCTGATGCATCGCTCCTGTAACTTTGTTTTCGTTTTCTGCAAGTTGCCACAGTTTCGTTCCGTGCAACATAAACACTCGGTGTATCGGAGCCTTTACGATAAATTAACCATGACGTATTAAAGCGTGGTTAATAGTGAAATCCGGTAATCGCTGCATCCCTAGTCCTGAGTAGAGGTCTATTCAGACAAGATGATCGTACCCTATCCCTTTATATTGTCCAGGCTAACTAAAATACAGTATTATGATGACTACCCAACCCCATTTTCAAAATGTTCTAATCATTATACCCATTTGGTTCTAGGTTTAATCAATTACTCTATGTGCTACCTAAAGGTAGATTTACTGCGTGGCTGGAGATGACAGCATGGATTAGGTTCTGTATGACTAAGAGATAAGGGAGGTCTGTGAATCATTTTACATTTACAGTCTCTTGCATGTGCAAGTCTGATCTTTGCACAAACACGCATACTCATTTACACATTCACAGACCACAAAATCAGTTGGCAAGCAGGCCCATCGGCCCGAAAATTGTTGGGTTTTGTATCTCATACAATAGCTGCCTGATTACCGGCACATCTGTGTGTTTACTGGATCTCTTTCTCTGACCTCCAAACACCCAACACGCCTCCCTCATTGTGATGGCATTCAGTGTGTAACCTCACACTTTCCATATTAAAGTAAAATAGTTGCAGGGTAACAAACCTTTGTTGAATTTGACTATCTATTGAACTTGGTTGTCCTGTGGATTTTAGAGGCAATATTGTTTATTATGCCGATTAGCCTAAATTGTAATTAGTTCCATTAATTCCCAGACTAATGGTATTTATTAGCAGCTGGAAACTATGACAGCTAATGTCAGGAGTCATAATTTCAGTAGGTGACCTATCACAGATCACATTTTAAAGGAATCCTCTGAACATGATTTGATTAGTGCCTGCAGCACTGATCCACAGCAAAGGTTGAAGACAGAAAATTATAGGCTTTTGGGATGTGATGAGAAAGACCAAAAAGGTCATTGTCAAGGGTCTCTTTCAAACTGTGTGCCACCAAATTTAGACCTTCTCTAAATCATACATGAAAGGAATGAATGGACAAGACAATTAGCTTAACCATATTATACCCCTAAGTACATATTCTAGTACATCCCTAGTACATATCTCTGTCTCTCTGTTGTGGAAGAAATCTGATGTTTCTCTGTTTAAAACTGATAGTAATCAGGAATTCATGCATTGTGTGAAGAATCACAACTTTCTCTCCAGTTTTCATATCGGCTATAGAGGTTTTGATCTTTAATTGAAAGACCATTAGTGTCAAAACATCTCTCTCATTACATTGTGTTTGTTTTATGTGTCTTACATGCCCAGAGATACATTGTAGTTGTGGATCAGAGATGTATATGAGTCTTTTATCTGATAAAACACTGAACATTTAGATTGACTGACGTTGAGGTGTGAATTGTGTGCTGGAAGGCTGGAATATGCTTTCCTTGGCTGCATTAGGAGACATTCCCATAACTGTTTCTGTTAAACTTCTCTCTCAAACTTCAAGCCATGCCTTCCTTCTGGATTCCACACTTAGATGAAGGCTCCAACTAAAATCCACAACATCTATTATCTATCTATCCATCTAACATATAACGTTATAGGGTTCACATACGTTTTCCTGCGTCTGTATATATTTTAATGCACTCTTCTCTTTTTTTGACTTTCTTGGTCATTTCCTAAAACCTTATTTTAATGCATTTTCTATAAATCTATCTCTCCCTCTCTCTAACTTAATCTCTCCACCTCCACCCGTGTTTCGGGTGTCCGCGGTACACCTCCATCATGCTTGCTTGACCTTTTCGTAATGCCTGCCAGTAAACACTATTACCTTTTCTGTTTTCTTTTGCTCACTCAGTTACTACAGTGACATGAGAGCCCTCACTCGATGCCAAAGCCTGCTGGCTTGATTCTTGTTTCTGTTTCTGTTCTTGTTTCATTTTCCTCTACAGTTTCTGTTGTCATAAATCTTCAGCTGGGTTCTTTCATCAGCCTCAATCTATTTTGATCTTTTTTCTCTGCTTCTGAATTTCTTCCCCCCTCCCTTTTATAGCTTTCAAAAGCAAGTTGAGTAGACAATTACTGTTAAAAAAAGGAAACATGAAATTCTGAAATCTTATGTTTTTCAACTTGAGTTCAAAATGGCAAAGACGATACTTGCTGATGTTCTGTGATTGTCAAAGTGCTTGCTATTGAAGCAGCATGTTAAATTCAAGCAGCAGAGTCCAAGGTTCCAGGAAAAAGTGCCTTTCATTACAGTTTGATCTAAACTGAAAAGAAAAATGGATTTGGCACTACTAAAGTAAGATAATTATATAAGCAACTCAGACAGACACTGACTATAAAGGTAATTTCATCCTTATCAGAAATATTGCACTGCCTTAACTCCAGTAGAAGAAAGAGAGTTTGGAAAACATCTTGCTGTTTTCGGTTTATCATGCTTGTATGCTAAATCTCTCAAGAATGTATTGTTTCTAATAAATGGATGCTTAGTTCGCTTCAATTTTTTCGGTCTACTACATATTCAGTTACATTTGGATTGTTTCCATCCACCAACCCACCCTAACAGCCCTCTAAGGGTACATTAGCACACAATGTGGTGTAGTAGTCCCGGTTTCTCTCTGCACCATTATTACATATGTATATTTCAGTGTGGGTCCTCAAGTAAATGCTCTAGGACATTAAATATTGTAAACTGCCGTACAGTATCATGATGTTTTCAAACTATCAGACCAATGAGTGAATGATTGTCAGTGTGGTGTAAAGATCCAGTGTGAACCAACCAAAATCACAGCAGTCTTTGTTAACTCAAGGATCCAGACATACTGACAAAAGACACACACAAATATGTGTTAATAATTTGTCCAAAACCTTGTAACCATCTGGGGCTCCTCCCAGCACAAGGGCTAACATAAGCTACTGTAACTGAATCCCCAATGAAACAGCAGAAATTTGAATATCTAAAACCAGTCTGACCTAAAACAGTGAATATTGAACTTGTTGGTCCGTTTCTGCAACATGTGGAAGTATGCAGTTGTTTGCCAACACTTTAGCACAACGGTAAGCGAGGTAACCAATCCAAAACCAATGCAATGTCTTTTTGACAAATTCCGCAAAAATCTCCTCTCCTCCAATAGTCGGTTCTGTGCGTTTTTACACAGGACTGGCTCTTCACTTGGCATGCTCCAGCCACACACTGGAACACTATTCCAGTCGTGTGTCAAGTAACTCGCCCACGGACATTTATCTTTCTTTCTAGTTGGCCAAGACACACTGTTGTTGCGAAATTAACTATAGCAGCAGGAGAGTTGTGAGTTTTGCTGTTTGGAGCTGCCGTGCTGGCTCTGGGACCGTCTCCTCCTCTCTGCATATTAGCTTTACAGCAGCAGCTGTAGTGACAGTTTGCTAACCCACAACTTAAGTTTAACGATAGTTACAATACTTGCTGTGTCGTTGTTCACACTATATTGTGGTACTTGTCATGATGTTGGATTTCTCCAGAATCGCTTACTCTACCTTTAAAGTTTTTTC